CTAATAGTGTGAATGACAGAATGACCCGATATGAGAAAACCAGGCTATTTGCTCCAAAATTGAAAATTGAGATTTATGGTTTTCTTAATTAAGCAAAGTTTTTCCTATCTTTTGGTCCTTCTTCCATGTCATTTGACACATCTAGTGCTGAGTTATGCTTATTTATGCAACAAGAAGTCTAAACGAATGAAATTGAGTTACAGCCATTTTTATCATTATACATATATCTTGCATTATTTACATGGTACACAACAAAAAGAAAGGTCTGTAAATGACCTCTTTCAAGTTATTTTAGGGCAAACTTGGTATCAAATGAAAGGAAATTCTTTATACAATATATTTTTGGTATAATCTCAGTTTTGATAAGGTACCGCTGTCACAACTTTAAGAAGCCATATCTCTAATTGATAATTCCCGCAGATAGCCTGGTTTTCTCATATTGGGTCACAATTGTGTCTGTTTTTTGAAGTTTCCACTGAGTACTGCCACATAAAAGTTGCTCCAGTTGACAGTCCTCAGTCACATTGATGATATTAGGAAGAGAGGAAGAAACCAATGAAAATGAAAGAAGAAAAATGAAGAGACAAAAAAGGACATTGCTCTGCTTGCTAGAACAATTTCAAACCAACTCAATTGTCAAGTATTAGTAGCGTATGACTGAGAATGAAAGGAAAACCACATTTACTAGATTTACAAATAGCTAAGAAAAAACAAATACATGCACACGTAGCTAAGGAATTATTTTCCCCAAATATTTCTATAGGGATATCAGTTGTATACTAGTACATACTAGGACATTATAGTGATAGTTACTAGTTAGATCCAATACTAACAGATTAATTTTCATAACAAGTACATGTATATTAAGTCAAAATACAAAATTGATTTTTGTAAAATTACTGTGATCAGAATCAATACTGTGCATCCTACATTTTAAAAGTTAAAAATTTGAACATTAAGTGAGAAGTGACATTCCTCAGATTGACAATTGGAATTAGATTAATGCAACACTCAGTGACAATTTATTAGAGTTTACTATAGGACTACTGTATGTATTGAAGTCTTTAACTTTTATAAGAAATTTTAAAACTGAAAGTACATGTACATATACATTATGTGTACATGGGATGGGCTACCGTATAGGCCAGCTTATTTCAAAGGGCACAACTTTCACTGTTTTCATGATTTTATGTCCACAAAAGTTATTTCCATGAAATTTAATCTAAGCAAAGTATTATTTAAAAAATGACTCCAAAACCACCCTAAATTTTATTACATTTTTAATACATATTGATGCCCTTATTCTATGTAAAAAGTTTGAAGTGATTCCACAAGTACATGTAAGTACATTGTACATAAAATACTGCTCTTTTCTCTCCATAATTACTGTACCTCTTTTGTTGCCCATTGGAACCCAGCTACAACATTGTCCTTAATCTCATTCAGGTACTGCACTCCTTTGGTAACATCAATGAGCATAATAGGACCAGTGGTTTCCGAACCAAAGCACCAAACCTTCCTAGACTTTATGGCACATCCCATTTATACTTTTTATACCAGTACTGAGCCCTGACTTTAGGATCTTTTTATTATTAACATCACCCTAACATTAAGAAAAGAAAAAAATAAGTAAAAATAAACAAGAAATTTACAAAGGCCCCTTAATATAAAAGAGTCAGTTTACAATGAAATTAATGTGTGTTAACAGGTAAATTAATGCAATACTACATGTACATATATGTAATAATAATAATAAGAACTATTAATAATAATGATGTACCTTATTATTACTTCAGCCAGTTTATTAGGAAATGGACAATATTTTATTAACAACCTGTTATGCTTGTTTGGTGACTTTGATAAACATATTATTGAACTTTTGGCTGAAACTGTCTCACAGTATAACACAACTGGAACAAATTTCTACAAAAATAAAAAATAAATTAAATTATCATTTTTATGCATAGACAATACAATATACATTGTATTATGGGGTTTATTAGTTCACTTACATTGTTAATCTGCTATACAATATAATGAGGTCATATGTAGATATAAAGTAATCAGACTACTTATTGTGAATTTAACTTAATTGATTTTTCTCGTTTAGTCATATTATAGTTTCCAATGTTACACTAAACATACAAAACAAGGGAATACATCACAGCTAAAGTATACACATTACTTACTGGCTGGTCAGTATGTACTGCTGATTTCAAGTTATCCAGTGACACATACCCTTAACCAGTAGTCACCATAGTCCCACAGGCCAGACCCTATAGCTACCAGTTGTCCATCCAGTCTACGCCTGATCCACTCCAGTATCTCACCAGTGGTCTTTACGCTGCTACCAGCAGAGAGCTCTTCATTCTCATCAATAGTGATCACTGTGTCACTCACTTTCATCCTCAGTGCCATGCGATGAATCTGAATATAATAGTAGATACAACAGTAGGTTCTGATGAACTGCTGAGACAATGTACATGTATAGTACTATTGTATGAATATGACATGTGAAAAAAGACTATTATTACCAAGCGCTAGCGGCTTGGTATGTAGGGTTGAGTTGGACTGTCACAGAAAAATCTGTCCCACCCAAATTTTGTCCCGTGAGACAAAATATTTTATCCTAGGACAAAATCTTTCAGAAATATTTTGTCCTAGGACAAAATTTTTCAGAAATATTTTGTCCTGGGCAAGCTTTTATTGTCCTACCATAGGACTAATTTTTTTGTCCTAGGACAAAATAATATATGTTTATGAAATATTTTTGTCCTAGGACAAATTGTATCTGAAATATTTTATCCTAGGATCATACTATTATGCATATTTTGATAAGGAAAATTTACTTAGCACTCAGTATTAATAATAATAATAATAATAATACATTTCATTATCGCACAATAATTGTCTTCATGCAACTTTTACAACAATTACATGACCAAACGTAGTCCTTATCAGTCCAAACATCTTCTGGTATTTGTTCACACTCTACGTGATACCACTCCTTACATTAAGAACATTTTACCATTCTTCCTTCATTACTATAGATTGTCTGCACAGGCAGTATATAGGTAACCTGTATTCTTTGGATAGTCCAGGGCATCTAGCTCTTAAATATAGCTGCAAGAAGTTGGGTCTTAACCAGCACAAATTGACATTGCTAAAGCAAGGGCACATAAACCACAATCTTATTGTCCATTTTGCCTTAATTTGCATACTAGGAACAGTCACTTTAATTCCCTGTACTCGGTGCATTGCGGTACTGGGCAAGCTATCATATATCAGTTTGTTATAATTGATGCTTTGATTTAATTATTCAAATCATGAATACAGATGCATATATATACTGAGTTTGTCTACAAAAGCACAGATATCATACTACATACATACATACACACACATAACTAACTAAACTACTTAAAATACACAAAACACCTACACTATCATGATATAGTTGACCATTCAGTCATCTTGGTCTGGTACTACGGCGGTTCCCCATTTTGCACTGAAAACAAACTTTTCAGCTCTTTTCCATATCTGCCTCTTTCTGTTGGCACTACAACCTTCTGGACACTTTCTATCAGCTCAATAGACCGTCTGCAATAGGCGTGATAATTAGGGGGTTCGGTTTTCTGTCAGCCATTTTGGAGTACAAGAATAAAAATGGCCCATTTATGTACCTATCCTTTTCATGCTTTATAAAATCAAAGAAAATTGGATTTTAGGACTTAAGAGCAAATTAATAGAAAGATAAGGCTATGAAGAATAAATGCTGGAACTTATAGTGCTGTTTTTCAATTTTTAGGTGGCGAAATCCTTGAGTGAACTCGGGCCGTTTTTGTCATGTTTTTAGGACTCCTGTACGAAAATTGAGAGTAATGAGCTTCAAAATAATAAAAATAACTTACTGGAAGTTCATATACTACATTATAATACAGGACAGACTTATTGAAGAGCTCCTACAATGGCAAAAATATGACCAAAATTACACACCTGCACACACTGTTTTTCCTCTTCCATGTTTAGTAGAGTTCAAAAAAGAACTATTAAAATCCAGGACTATGCCTTATCTTTGTAGTAAACAAGTTTAAAAGGTTTTAAACCAAGTAATTCTCTTGAAATTTGGCTCGAAATACAGCACAATTTGTGGATCAATGAATGAGCCATTTTTATTCTTGTACTCCAAGATGGCTGACTGAAGCCGAACCTCCTAATTACCACGCCTATTGCAGAAGGTCTATTGCTGAAGCACTTGAAATTCCTCAATATAAATCTATTTTTGTACGATTGATGATGGCTGCATGAAATTAAAATATTCCATTCCTGATCTATGCAACATAAGTACATGTACATGCATCAGAGAATGTCATAAAGATAAAGAATTCTCACCTTTTTATTTTTGGCAAAATTTGGCCTGTGACCCTGTACTATAAGGGACTTTAGCCTGATTTTTGAGCAACTTTACAAATTCATAAAAAATCCAATTTTGATCAGAATCAGTTCAAACTTTCTAGGCAACATAAGTACATGTTTATGCATTAGTAATTGTCATAAAAATAAAAAATTCTCACCTTTTCATTTTTGGCCCGTGACCCTGTACTATAGTGCAGGGACTTTAGCCCGATTTTTGAGCAACTTTACAAATTCATTAAAAAATCCAATTTTGATTGGAATCAGTTCAAACTTTCTACGCAACATAAGTACATGTATATGCATCAGAGAATGTCATAAGAATAAAGAATTCTCACCTTTTCATTTTTGGCAAAATTTGGCCCGTGACCCTGTACTAAACATAAAAAATTTAAAAAAACAAGATGAAGTAG